GTGCAATTTCAAGAGCCTCATATATATCAACTCGCAAAGAGGTTCGGCTGGGACTCGTGGTCCCAACGTTAGAGGCGGGGCAGGCTTCTGCTTCTTTGCGGTGAGGCATTGCGAGCAGTGAATAGAGGAGTGGCAGGTTGTAGATAGGTATGTATGCTTTTCATCCAGCGATCACAATCTCATTCCAGTCCTAGGAGGGAATTAAATGTTGGAGCAGCAACTGACTACAATGTAGGTACAAGGTAGGATTGCCAGGTCTTATATGTTAAAACTTTTGTTCAGGGTGGGCTCGCGGCCTCCGGGTTTCCACTACTTGAACTTTGGCTCACGGTGCCAAAGACGAGAGAGCTTTCCTTGATTTGGATCACTCATTTGTGTCACTCATTTGTGTCAATACACGTGTCAATGAGCTAGTCAAGTGCTGAACCGCAAGCATGCAGCCAATTGCGATTTGGTCATTCCGGTTTTGATGCACGGTAGTTGCGAGACTCAACTTCGGTCCACTGTGCTGTATTGAATTTGAGCAACGCGGGACCATACACTTCTCACCATTGTTTCACTTCCTACGAGCGCGATCTTCATTGGGCATGATTCGGGGTCCGCGCGGCAATATTGCAACGGTCCAAGCTGAGTATATTGACAACTAGCTAGGCGACTACTACGAGTATCTAAACGCTGAAGAAGAAAGAGAAAACAGAGCAAGGAAAGGAGAGCTCGAGGAGCTCTTGAGCTCCTGAGCTCGACACGTGGTTAATCTCGCTTATGGATAGGTCCTGGCCGGGGNCGATCCGTGACTTCACTCTCCCGTGCCCAGTCAGTTGGTTTGACGCGGTTCTTTAGGATTGTGAGTTCTTTTGCGATATCATCTTCTTTGGCGATGATATCATAGTACCTGCCAACGGTTTTGACGATGTACTCTTGTAGCGTTGCCAAAGCTTTTGTCTTGTCCTTGTAGATCTGAAGTTGGCTTCGATGCCGTGCCTCAAGGATTTGGAATTTGCTAAGGCTGTCACCCTGCAATTGTTGTATCTCAGCGGCGTTCTCCTGGACTTGTCCCGGAGTCGGTTCGACTGGTGGGGTCAAACTCGGCTTCTGTACAACATCGGGGTTGATGTAGTCCCAGACTTGCTGGTTCTTGGCGAACTTGCGGATTACACTGATCCACACGTCCCAGTTACCGGATCCTTTGAGGATGACCCGGGAAGAGGCGTCGAGGCCGTCAGCTGCCATTATAATCGGTGGTGTTCAGTTAAGTGGAAGCTTGTGACTAAATTTAATTAGGTCGTGCAAGCCGGGCTCATAACTGTCACACACACGATTGTATGGGACAGCTTGGGCAAAACGAGAGACTCTTGATTTCCTATCTAAAAGAACAGAATAATACGAAATTAAATACTTGTTGTAATACTGCTGCCTGGCAGGCAGCAGTATAGCAATGGCTGTTGCCTTGAATGAGCGACTTGACCTTGACATACCCCCCCAGGTTGAACATTTTCAAACTGTGAATTAGAATAAAGGAGCGAGAAAGCGTTCGAATCAGTCGCTATCGAATTCTTCGTGTGTCTCAAGGACACTTCTGATGTCGACAAGCGCGAGCTGTTCGACAAAATGTTTGAACTTCTGGCCNAGTTGAAGATCAATGTGTTGAAATAGACGTTGTGTGGCAATTGCCTCCTTGGCCGTGTGAGTAAACGCTAGCAGTTCTGCCTCAGTTGATGAGGTCGTGACTGTGGTTTGCTTTCCTGTTTTCCAACTAACAGGTCCTCCGAATAGGATTATGATGTATCCCTGAGATGATTTTCGTGTCTCCGGATCGTCGGCGAATGCAGCGTCTGATGCGATGCGGAGTTCTCGTGGAATGCTGCAGTGGTTGATCTTGATCATTTCCGTGGTGCAGCTTGTTCCGTTGAATTGAACGGCAAGGAACCGAGTGGGCCAGAGATATTCCATTAGGCGGTCCACCAGGTACACATGCTGGTCTGATGGGTTGAGCAGGAATTCTGCAAGCTTGGATATCGGTTTTGCGATGTCGGCTCGCGTTATGACTGCGACATAGTTGACGGAGCCGACCTTCTGCTGATATCGATGGACAAGGTCTGGT